TTTCAGAGACAGCTTGTTCCCTTTCCCACTGCTGCCTCCTCAGAAACTCACTGGCCTTCCCCTAAAACATCAGGGACTTACCCTGAGCTTCAGAGAGTCCTTGTCATATGGGCTGGGGGTGAAGTCCGTGTGGACACGAGCTTTACCACAGAAGGGGCCAGTGTATGGTGGGCTGGTCTCCTCCATCCTCAGGCTGTCGCGGTTGTTGCCTATGTAGCTGGGGCTGATCACTTCACTTCCTGCAGGTGGGGGGGAACCAAGTCAGCCTCTCCTCATGACCCAGCACAGCTTGGGAGACTTGCTCCAGTTCTCTGGGGGCAGCATGCTGGCTAAGTGGGCTCGGTTTTGCTGTGTGCTTGATGGATGTGGGTGTGCCTTTGTCACTTGCACTGGTCTCAGAAGTTTCTTTTCCCCATACCCTCCTGTGCCAGACTACCACATGCCAATGAGGCCGTTCTGGGCAGAATAGCTACAACCCTGGGGAATCCACATAAGAATCACACTGTAACACAGGGCTGGAAATCAGAGCTGCCCCTCTATCGCCTCAGCTGTGCTTAGCAAAGTTCCCCCTTTCATGCTCCACAGGGGAATGCCAGGGCCCAGGACCTGGCACCTTTGAATCCCTGCAGAGCCAAGTCAGACAAATGAATGCCAGTTGTTTCCTGTAAAGCACCGGTAGGGAGCAGGGTCCATGGGCTTGGAGGAGGGGTGGCTATCCAGGCAGCTGCCGTGTGTTACAACTAAAGCAAGTTTGGTCACAAACCCCACAGAAAGGTGCAAGAAATCACAGCTGTGTGTGTCAGGTATAGGTGCCTGAGCTGGCCCGGCAGTAACACAGCCAGCTGAGTGTGAGAGCCACCAGGCAACTCCTCCTGCACTAGACTGGTATGGAAAACCCCCGCCCTTAAGATGGTGCCACATTGTGGCAGGAGTATGCAGGGCACTGCCTCCTGCAACCTAAAAGCCAATGTGGGCAGAGACTCTGCCTCCCTAAATAGTGTTCCTCTACTGTGCTCTGGTAAAGAGGGCTGGGGCCCCCTCAGAGCTAGTAGTGCAATGAGGGAAGGGGGAGGAACCCGCCCTCCTGGGCTGGGGGCATGGCTGAGCACAAAGTCCAGACAGCAGGAGGAGCCTGGTCTATGAGCAGTGCCAGATTATGACATGCTGAGCCCCTAAACTATGTCCATCTCAAGAGAGCCCATATGACAATAATAATCCATGAAAATGGATTTTCATGAAAATTTAAGATGAATTATTGTTATTTCTGCACAAATTTATGTACTCAATATGAATAATAATTGTGGAGCCATATATATGTATATTTTTGTCATATTAGAATGAAAATGTCCAGGGTTTTTTTCTTATTTAGAGGCCCCTCATATTGTGCAGCCCTAAACTGTATCTTAAGTAGCTTGAGCCTAAATCCAGCACTTTCTGTGGATCTGTCCCACCCAGCCACACATGCCCAGGCAGCTACCAATCCTGCTGGGCTATCACCTGCTGCAGAGGAAAAGCTAGTGGGGACCTGGAAGGAGCTGATGTGAGCTCACAATAAAGAGAGCACCAAGGTGTGTGAGCACATAACTTTAGGGTACACGCCTGCCCATGCACTCACCACTGGACAGCTGGCGGCTAAGCTGCGAGTGTACACTATCCTCCGCCTCCATGTAGGACAAGGGCATCTTCTCAGAACTCTGCTCATCCAAGCTGCTGTCCAGAGACAGGAGAGACATGGAGCCCTCCTCTCCAGCTTCCCCCTGCAGGTAATAAACAGAAACCATGGCAGCTAGGCCTGCTGGACTGTCTTCGTGACCTTGGTAGGCTCCACTGAAGCAGATCAGAGAGCCTGGGAGCTGGCACTAATCCGTATTGGAGGGTTGGAGCCAGGATCACATCTCCCCTCCCCACGTCCAAAAGCAAAGCAAGCTGGGGACTCAGCCACCATGGTGCAGATCCCAACCAGGTTGGTTGAATTCAGAGGTAGGAGACCCTGTGGGATCTTCCCATCGGAGGCAGGAAAGCTGTGGAGACCTGGCAGAGGCTGCTTCCCTCAGACTGGGTTTCCTCACTGTGGGATGCTTTGGGGCAGGGCTGTCCAACTTCCAAGTGGCCAGGGGCCACAGACCCCTTGGGCCACACTAGAGCAAGCTACAGTCCCCTCCCTTTCCCTTCCCTGGGCTGCACATCCCATGGATGCCTCCCACTGCTGCCCCTCATTACACCATGTATCCACAACTGCACTGCATACCCGAAACCACCCCCCACACACACACCATGTGCCTGCATGGGCACTCCACCAAAACAACACAAGCTTGCACCCCCAAATGCCCTCCACTCCCTGCTGCACTGCACACTTCAGAGGCACCCTCAGCTCTCAGATACCACACTGCCTATCCTATCCCCCACAGGGCAGGCACAGGAAGCCACAGCCGGAGGAGGCAGAGGGAGCCTGGGGACTTTGGCTGCTGCTCTAAGCTGAGCCATGGGGAGCAGGAGCCCCCGGGCTGCAATTTATCCTCTTGCAGGCTGCATGCAGCTGCCAATTGGACAGCCCTGGTTTGGATGAACGTTTGAAGCCCCTTCCCCTGATAGGTCAATGGGTGCCAAACCCTGAGAACTGCACGAGGGTCATGAGAATTGTCAGCCCAGGCATGTTGAGCTGATAGAGGAGGCTCAGGAGCATGAGGTGGGTCCTCTCAGCAACCTGCAATGGCAAAGAGCAGACATTGGAGGAGTCATTACCCAGCTCAGCTCAGCCTTTCCTCCTTTCCAGGTTGTGCCTAGTTCAGCTTGCAGGAGATGCCTGCCTGGACTTGTTTAGCATGATCCCCCTTTCTCCCTGTTCCTGCACTTCTCTGTACTTGTTCCTGTGCTGTGCAGGCAGCCTCATGCTGGCTAAAGTGGTAACTTTACATGCCAGGGTGACATGGTGAATCCTGGGACCGTGTAATTCAAAGCTCACCTGGCTACAGTGGTTTGAACCAACCTTGGTGGCCTCTAGAAAGGCACAGTAAGGGGCTTAGGGACAGCAGGAGGAGAGCTGTTCTGGTTGGAAAATATAGGCAGAGGCGTAACTAGTAAGTTTTGTGCCCCAGTCAAAACTCCCCTGTGCCCTGGGCGCGGGGCAGAGGGGGATCAGTCTTACCTGCCCCAGGGACTCAAAGATTCCCCATTGCTGCCCGGCTCCTATGGGCATAGGGAATGGGTATAGGGCTCCGCACAATGTGAGGCCTCATGCTATTGGGAATGAGTCATTCCATAGCTGGAGCATGGCTCACTGATTAGGACCCCAAATGGCAGCCCAACAAGGGACAGAGAAAGACCCAGAGGAGACCTGGAACTAATGTGGCTCCAAGGGTGACATCAGGGGCAGTAACCCAAGCAGGTACCTGCCAGCCCTATGTCAGGTATGGGTATTCCCATGCCAGAAGGAGGCAGTAGGCACCTGTGATGCAGACAGTCACCTCGTTGAGGGTCATGCCAGCAGCACACTGCTCATCTAAGGTCCATCTACGCAGGAAACTTTCAGGCCACTAGTGCAGCTCCTCCTGAACTGTACAGCCATGGCCTTGTGGTGCTGGTGTGGAAAAACTAGCATGGGGTAGGTCACTGTCACTCATCAGTGCCATTAAGCACCACGAAGCACCTGAAGCACCATGCCCACATGGTATGGCTCCAGTGCTTCCAGGTGAGGAGGCAGCTTGCTACAGCAGAGCAGCATGGTGAGGGCACAGGGCACTGTAAGTCTACCATGTCAGTACAGTTATTGGAGCAAGTGAACAGTCAGGTTATTCTGAAGGGAGCAAGCTGGATGTCCATCAGCTGGGGGCACATGTGTTGCTGAGCTCACTGCTCAGACACTGGCATGTGTGAAGCTGGGGGGCACCCAGGTACTGAATCCTTGGGGAGCCAGTGGGGTCATTGATACAAGACCAGTGAATCAGTGCAGCCTGGCTCCACACACGATAAACGCACACTTCAGGCCAGGTGGAGAGTCCCCTTCTACCCACAGGCAGGCAGCTGGGGTTCCTCTCCCACTCCCATGCAGGGACGGCTAGTATCTGTCCCACACATCATGGGAATCCATGCTCCAGGCCTTAATAAGCCTATGTGGCTGGAATACTAGGCTTCCACCTGGTGCTGACACTATGCTGTTTGAGTACCAGCTCCTTACCTTCCCTTCAGACAGCGCTTTCACCGCCATCCTGCCCATCTTCCTGTTCATGGTGCGGGAGATTACAGCCCTCCACTTCTTGCCCAGCTTCATTCCACTGCTTTTGGAGGTGTCCTCTGAAACAGCACTTCCAAGGTCATCCTCAGGGATCTTCAGGGAGCGACATAGCCATATGGGTTGTGGGTGATGGACAACAGAGAAATTACCCAATTTTCCCTTGACAAAGCAGGGATGGTGAGCCCCCTTGTGCTGCCATGTGAAGAACCAGGGGGGTGAGGCCTGACTTTCTGCCAAGCAGAAACCTCCCCAGGTAAACCCCAGAGAAAGAAACTGGAAAGCCTATACACTTGGCCTTCCAGAAAGAGGCACATCTGTGGGTACCATATTTGCCAGCACCATAGCTGGCACCTCTGCTAGAGCTGAGAGATGGGAGTGGAATTCTCCCCACAGTGACCTTCCACCAGCCTGGAGAGAAGTCCTGCCATGGGCAGGCTGTGGGCCTCTCCAGCTCTTCTGAGCAGCCTAAGTGGGGGCAGGATGAGAGAGGCAGAGCAGGGCCCATCTTGGCACCAGAAGGGAGCTGGGGATGTCTGTGCCCCAAAGAGGAGCAAACTGGGGATTGGGTAAAAGGGAGACTGCATGGTCCAGAATGGAGGGTGGAGGCAGGTCCCCAGGGAGAAGCAATGCCAGGTGGGTACCCCTGTGGGTTGATAACGGAAATGGCAATGGGCATGCCCCAGGGAGTGACAATCCAGGTTGCAGCAGGGTGCTGATATCAGGACAGATACTCACGTTCTCCTCCAAGCTAAATTCCTTCTCGCTCACCCCAGGGGAACTGGGCTTGGACTTGGCAAAATCCTTGAAGCTGCTGGAACGTTGGAGGGAGAGCTGCAGGGGAAGTGGGGACACCATAAAAATGTGAGCCCTGGTGGTACAGCACAGCCACAGGCCAGGCAGGGCTGCCCTTTTTGGAAAGGCCTGGCTCTTACCCCTAACCTTCTGGGGCTGTTGGGGGCACCTGCCCACATAGGGGAACTGGGCTTGGACTTGGCAAAATCCTTGAAGCTGCTGGAACGTTGGAGGGAGAGCTGCAGGGGAAGTGGGGACACCATAAAAATGTGAGCCCTGGTGGTACAGCACAGCCACAGGCCAGGCAGGGCTGCCCTTTTTGGAAAGGCCTGGCTCTTACCCCTAACCTTCTGGGGCTGTTGGGGGCACCTGCCCACATGGGGGGGGT